GAATTACTGAGAACTGTATTTATGTTCATAGAGATATTCAAATTGATATTCAAATTAATTACCTGATTCTCAGAATAATATTGCTAATTTGTGGAACTGTACACCTATGATTTGCTTAAAGTGTTCAACTTCTTATTGATAGGAAAAATAAAACTACATTTAGGTTTTGTGCCAGCATTGAATGGTATTTGAGATTGTTCACAATTCCCTACACAATGACTAAAGCCCCAGTTGCACATGAACAAAATAGCCCTAGAAAATGATGCTGCCACCATCATGCTTCATTGGGGGTTTCTTGGTGTAAATTGTGTTCAAACATTTTATTTAAAAATATGGTCAAAAAGTCCAACCTTGGTGTTATCAGATCGTAACATATTTTCCCACATCTTGGTTTTATTTTTACATCACAAAACACGCTATTTTAGTAGACACGTGTGTATATTGCAATGAAAATAAATACAAATGGATTAATATTATTTGTCAAAACATTAGGTTTCCAGTAATAAATTGCCTGAAGTAAATATTCAATATTCTAAACTTGAATAGGGGTCCAACATTTTTTTTAAATGCTGTGGTGTAACCTTTATGTTTTCTATGTTCTGTTTTAGTACCTGTGCCGACAGTGCTGTAAACATCTGAACTTAGCTCCCTTCCGCTGTCAAACACAGAGTCACAGGTGATGCTGGGGACGGTGGGAGAAGCTGGACCATTGTCCTTGTCAGTACTCTTCAGCTTCCTCCTCATCTTCACCTGCACAAGTAAACAAATGTGTTTCTCTGACATTTAAATGACATAACCCCAAAACAAAGTTGACCTTGTGTCAAAAAATAAGCTATTTTGTCATTTTGCTTATGTACTGGTGACATTTTTGACCCCTGGAACAAAAACACTCACAGTAGTAACAACATTTGAAATATATAAAACATTAAAACCGTTGACAGATATAGTGAGCCTGGTATATCTTGTTGCAGTGGAAAGGACGCTTAGACCAACACTTATTTTTTTCACTTAAACATTTTTGAAGATAAGTCATACCTCTGACTTTTACAGTACTCGCCTAAAGCAGTTGTAACCCCCTACCTGTCCCTCTCAGCAGGACATCAATGAGACATGTGAAGCTGCTTAATAGCTTAGTCTGATGGGATCTAATGACAGAAGCTGTAAGTAACACATCCACTGAGTACCCACCCAGGCGCCCCCAGGCAAAAAAGATCTATAGGACAAAACACTTTGTGACCCATCCAGATCTTCTTTTGACACGTCATTGCTCGTCAGAGAAATTTTGGTCATAAAAGGACGAAAAAGCAGGAAAAAATCATCAGCATTTGGCTGATCAGTAAGCGAATATATAGTTGTGAATGTCAAATTATTTTGTAAGAAAAAAGCAAAGTATCAAGGAATACAAAGACAAGTTGAATGCTATTGAGTGAATTGGTATCAATAGTTTTCTTCACCTAAATAAAAAAATATATATTTTGTATCTACTCGGTATATCTCTATGTGACAATAAGACCTGCTTGATGAGCTTAAATAAGTAATTAAGACATAAAAGCAAAACCAGAACAATCCTATATAGAAACATGTTTTCTCTGTCTTTTTGAAACCTATACAAACATTGCTCCCTTACATGCACTTACCTCAAGAAAAATAATTAAATGTCACAAGTCATCAGCATAATCCAGTATGACTTTTTTTTTTTAAATCCAAGCCACAAGAAATGGAATGTATGACACAGTTTGAAGAGTATCAAGGGATTTGAATTACTCAGTATTTTTATTCAACCCCCTGAAGTCTATGTAATGTAGTTGGTGATGGTGCTCCACTTGCTGTGCTATTTCTTTATCTTATTTCACAGCACAGAAAAATATTCATGAAGTAAAATAAAAACATTCAGCAAAAAAAAAAAAGAAGAGATACACCTTCACACTTGAACTGGTCTTAATTCACAATCCACAGCATTCCAGGGTTATTCCCTTCAAACTGCATTATTTAACTTTGTGTATCTGAAATTATGGTAGGAAGTGAAGAGGAGTGAAATCCTTAAAATGATTACTAACCGATTTTTTCTGCTTCGGGCTGTAAAGAGAGGATGCAGGAATGTCGGATTTCTTTCTCAAAAACAGCTTGAATGTAGCAGAATCAAAGTTATCCACTGCAAAACATCTCCACGATGTCTGTGGAGACATGGAAATAGAAATGTATTGGAATGATTGATACACTTCATCCTTGACCATATTTTTTTAAAAAAAGAAAGAACAAGATGCAGGAAAGTTTTCTGTCAGTAATAAAAGTTGGGCTCTGAGACTATTCAGTCCCCCAGCTTCTCTGAGGTTTCCTTTGAGGGTTTTTTTTAATACCTGTATGAGACAGGCAGCTGCAGGAATCTGCCTGTTGAAGTGCTTCTGCCTTTGCTTTTGCTGCACCTTCAGGGCAAAGCCAGAACCTAAAATTCCCTGTGAACAACAACAGAGTGATTTTTTTTTTCCTTGTTGCTTATTAATTCCATTTTAATCCCACAGATATGAGCATGAATGTGGGCCAAAAACTGAGAAAACATGAAATGTTTATAGGAAAAACATTTCATTTTCCTAGTCATGCAAACACTGATAGAAAAAAGAACACAAACGTGGATTTAAACACTTTTGTAAGTCTTTTTTTTACCTTTTAGAGACTTGACAATGACTAAAATAATTACTGACAAAATCGATTAATTTATGTCATCTCAACTTAATAATTATTTTAAATAAAAAAGAAAAAAAAAACATATCTCTTTTCAGTTTACATTACTTTTGGACAAGCATTTGGTAATTTTTAAAAACAACAACTGAGTATAAGGTAGTTGTCACTGTAAAACAAATAAAATAGTGTTTTTTGCTATTTTTTTTGTAACAACTGACTCTTCATATGAGAGCAACTATTCAGAACATATCATCCACATCAAGGTTTCAAATCCACATCAGATATTTGAAATCTAGATTCTCTTAAACTGGAGCTGTTTCATGCAATGTGTGACAAGCCCCTGAGCCATTTAATGTTCACATAAAGCTTGTAAAACTAAGATGAATATCATTTAAATGCAACTGCCAAACAAAAACTGTAGCAGAATAAACTAAAGGTGAGATCAAAACATGTTAAACAGAGCACAAAGCAGCCCTTCTATAGCTTTTTGCATATTATATTCTTCATGTCTTTAATACATAATCCATGTGTTTTTAAAAACTTTTTACCCAAGCCTTAATTTGTGGATTATTTTGCTCGATTCTTTTTTAAGTGTGGATAGCTTGGAGTGTTCAATAATTATTTCAGTTGCTGTACATGAACAGAAATTGACCTTAAAATTTCTGGTATTTAGAAACATGGCTGTGCTGTATAATTAATTTATTGTCATAAAGGGTCAGCAACCAGTCAGTCACAAATGCCTGAGCTATTGATTAGTTTCAGCTTATTTAGTGTTCCTGTTCAATATTAGTCTACTTCAATAGACCTTTGTTCATTTTGTACTAAATAAAAAAAAGGAAATGTGTGTTTACATGCAATATCTCAAAAGTGCAGGCTCCAATATCCAACCATAAGTTCCCATAATGAATGTCAATACACTTTTCCCCCAGGTAAATTTCTTCTGATCAGCGTTATAGAGAGCAAACAGAGAAATGTTTGGGAGCAAAGCTAGCTTGATTGACATGCCTGGGAGTCTATAATTTAGTGACTTATGAGTCACAGAGAGACAAAACACCTGTGATCTTCAGTCGCATGTAAATTATTTTGACTCATGGTTTTTATCTTGCCGTCATCTGTCGGTGGAATAGGCAATCCATCTCTGACAGACAGTTACACTGTTGTTAGTTATGTTAGCTGTGTTGTCTGTTGTATTCAATTTTCTTTTCTCCATAATTATGGCTTATGGCTTACAATAATTTAACTACCAAACTCTCACAATGAAGATATCCATAATTTGCATTTTCACAAAACAACAAATCATACTGAGTGCATCCACTTACTGCAGGCAGAGCAAAAAACGATATGGCAAACACAGAAAAGCAGGAAGCAATGGTCTTCCCAATCCAGGTTTGAGGCACTTTGTCTCCGTAGCCAATTGTAGTTACAGTCACCTTTAAAACAGAAAAATAGAAGAAAAAAATGTTTATCCATACAAGAGATTTTTTGTTTTAAAACCACTAATACAATCATGCAAGTAAAATTTATTGCGGTTCTTATGTGGTTGTTCTTCACAGGTGTTCAGTCATCTGACAAAGAGGTTCAGTTTTTGTTTTCCTCTTGCCCCTTATACATATTTCTGATTTAGTTAATATCTCTATAGTCTATAGTTGGTCATAATGCTTTAATTTATTTCTGTAATAACTGTTCTTCACTCACTATCTTGCGTTTGTATTATGTTGTAGTCTACATCCGTGCATATGTTTTTATTTAAAACCAACTTCTAAAGCTTTAGATGAATATGAATGTTTTTTTTTTTTTTTTTTTTTAGTACATTTCTGGTAAATTACTTCCTTGTTTCTCTTCACTCACCATTGTTTGTCCCTTTTAGATGCTGCAGCTGGAGCAAATGTGTGGGAGGGGCCGGCCCAGTATTTCCTGCTTAAATGGGTGGCTGATGTCACTGATCGCATCAATGGGTTCTACCAAATGGAAGGTTTTTTGTATTATATTGTTTGTTTTTCTTTAAAGTCAGCTTTTGAGTTGCCTGGTATTAAATGTTTTATTTTGCAGACTATTCAGCTATATAGATGAGTTTGTAAATTATATTAATAATCTTAATCCTGTTTCTTTGTTTAGAATGTGTTATTTGGTTTGACCTGTTCTATTATGGTATAGTCCAGGGGTGGGCAATCCTGGTCCTCGAGGGCCGGTGTCCTGCCACTCTTAGATGTCTCCCTGGTCCAACACACTTGAATCCAGTAACTGAATCACCTCCTAAGATTTCAGATGCTTGAGATAGATTTCAGAGCCTAAAACATGCTAAACAATAAAAATGACAAGAAGATCCTGGAACCACCACCAGATGCTGTTTTCTGTTCACCTGTTTTGACCCTTTGACTACACTACCTCACACTAGGACATTAGGTTTCCTAAGTGAAGATTAAAAGAACAGCTTATGTTAGTTGCCAGTTGTCACATCACCATGGTTGACCTACAGTGCACCGGACATGGATTCCCTTGACATTTTTCACATTCTGTTACACTATGACCAAAAACTTCAGTCTATTATCTTTTTATTGTATATGATAAACTAACTTGCACAAAGAAGTGCATAGTTGTGCATTTTAGTCCACTCTTCATCGCAAAACAACTCAAGCTGACTTGAATGGCAGAAGGGCTGGATACCATCTGTGAGAATTAGCAGTGCACATCGATTTACAAGTCTTGCAACATGTTCTCAGTTAGATGCAGACTTGGTTTTCTTATTCAAATGCATAAATATAGGTTGATCTGAACCATTTCATTCTGGCTCTGGCTTCATGTCCAGGGCCATTGTCCTGCTTATATGAGAACATCTGTCCCAGTTTCAGGTGTTCCACAGCCTCTAATACCTGGTAGCTCTGTCATCCTCTACTCAGCTCTGAGAGATTTGTCCAGTACTTTGCTGACCTGACCATGTCCCACAATGTTAATATTATGTTTAGGGTGACCTGTAAACTTAGTTTACTCCACATATATGATTTGAAAATAAGCCAAAAACGTTACATTTTTCTGCCACCTGACCAGACTATGTGCTTGCTGTATCTCTTATATGGCTTTTAATGAACATTTTGTGGCTCTGTTTTAATAATGGATTTGTTATTGGTTGGGTCAACATTCATAAGATGTTTTAAATGTTGATCAAAAGGTTTTGGTCATCACATCACTTTTTTTTTAAATACTGAAGGGTCAAGACACTGAATGAATGCTCTTCAAATATGCTGTACCTTTTCTCTCTCAATAATCACATTGCTGGCTAGATCAGAAGCACACGTCTAGTTCAAGGTGATAATTATAACACCTGAATATCCTTTCTCCTTAAAATATCTATGTGTTTACTACATCTATGAATTATTTAAATTGATTGTAAGAGGCAATATACCTGTCCTGCCTTCATTACAATGCTGATCTTCTCCTATTCAATAAAATATTTCATTATTTAGGCATACATGGAGCATTTACACATGTCAAAAAGAGATATTTTGTTTTTGACCACTTCCATAACAATGTCTCTGAATTGAACTGGGTTTATTAGTTGTCTGTCAGCAGTTCTTCCATAGCTGACTAAGGCAGTGTGCTGAATAAACTGCCTCTTGATATTTGGGATCTGTAACACAGTAATCTGCTGGGAAATACCCCCACCCATCGGCCAATATGGTAGGTAACGATGCAGACTTTGGTCACAAGCCACTAGAGAGACACTGCAGTCCAGCAGTTTGCATGGGAAATTTCCATGCTGCTTACATCTGGCAACAACCAAATAAAATAATAATGGATAATATTGTAAAATAACTACCAAAAACAAAATCATGGCCGACTTAAACATAACGAGGCCAATGAAGTAATAGCTTTCCAATAATGTAAAATGTTTTTTGAACAAGTAACATACTATCATGTCACTACAGCTGCAAGTTATAGCTGCATAATATAACTTTTATAAAAAATATATATATATATTTTTTAGATATTTGTTGAAATTGTCACTATGTCATGACAGTAATCTATGAGACAGATAATCTGTGAAAAGCAAATGTTTAATTGCATTTTAAAATTCACTTTATTCCATTTAAAAGGGCCAAATTATTACATCATGTGCAGTTATTACATTAAAAGTTTTTCTTATATTAACGGTTACAACACATACCTCTTCATTAAAATCTCCAGGATAAGAAAAAGTTGGTTTCAGTATAGATTTCTCATAATTGTAAAAGCACAACTTACTTGTTACTTGGTCTGCAGCTATTATGGACACACGCCTATATTGTAAGAGGAATAAGGAAGCAAGAGTGGAATATGTAACAACTGTGGTGACCTGATTTCAATGGCCTTCCAACCATTACAAAGTTAATTGTCAATTTTGTAAAGGCCTAAATTAGATGGCTTCATGGCTACAGGTTGCTCTTAGACTCTAAACCATTTTTTTTCTTTCTGACCATGAAGATATAAATATAAAATATAAAATATTGCATTGATGGTCAAAAGGCAAAAAACAGAAATAGTTTATAGGCCTTAGGCCAAAACTGTCAAGGTCTAGCATGGGTTCTGCATTATTAACACTCATTTTATGTTGTATGGGTTTGCTATTTGTGTAGGTTACAGTTACTTCCTGAAGAACTACAGCATAACTTATTTTTGAGGAAAATACTCTAGACAACTCTTGGTCTTTGTAATAAATTACCAGTCTTCCTGACCACAAAATTGAACTTTTACCTCGTTGGTTCTCTCTCACATGTTTCTGCTGTAGAAGAACCGAAAACAAAATCACTGTGTGTAAAAACGGATAAAAAAAAAAAAATCCATCAACCGAAACTTGTATTTATGTAAGAAAGGTTATCGACTCAATTGAACATGTGTGTGCTTTTAAAAGAGTCCCTTAAGTTTTTAGAAAGCTGAAGTTCATCCCATGTTCTCTTCACTATTTGTGTTAGTGCCTGCATTAGCAGCCCACTGGATCTACCCACGAGTTTACACACTCCTACTTCAACAACAAAGCCACAGAGAAAACACAGACTGTGTTTGACCTTTCACAGTTGAAGAAATACAGCCTCAAGTGTTCCTTAAAAAGAACAATATTTTAAAAATATGATCGTAATCAAAGATCAGAGGTAAATCTATTATTCAACAATATAAGTGAAGCCATTCCCAGCTACAAGGTAGGTAAATCCAACAGATAAAGGTTCTGGTTTTAGTCACAGTTACATGTTTCAGTTCATCAAAAAAAAACTTTCATATGAGCTACAGCATACATATCCGGTTTTCAAATAATTTCACTCACCAAGGGAAAAGAGCAATCCAAAAACGTCCCTGTTTCTATGTGAAAAAGGAAACGCCCTCTTCTAAATCATGAATTGACTATAATTAATATGAATATAAACAATTATTAATGATATATTAACTTTGTTAGCCACGCAGCCACACATTTGGAGTTAATAAATCACAGATGTAGAATCTTTAAAATAATAAGGAGATAATAATAAATACCTCATCCTGCTTAGATCAAAAGGAATTCAAGAACAGATGAGAAATATTGTCCTTGACCTCTAACAGTCTGTAAAAGTTACAAAGTTATTTGTAACTTAGTGAATTATAGCAGGAGTTATAACCCACAAATAGAGAAAACGTGAAGTATTGGTGAACATTCCCAGGAGTGGTCAGTTAACTAAAGTCAATCTATGACTGAGCCAACAGGTTTCTTTTGACTGGGAGTAATATTAAAGCTTCAAAGTCCTGATTTTACTCTGACTGACAATCAATGGAGGCAGCTAAATATTAGGGTAATGGCAAGTAGGCCAACTGGCCAGAAAAGCCTTGAAGCTCATTACCAAACAAATTTCATCAATTAAAACATGAAAACATCTGACTGATAATTATAGGAAGGGTTCAATTAGGGATGTAACTTTCAGAGTCATGTCATCTTAACAACAAATAATGAATATGTATGTTGTCAAAGCATGGTTTGAAACACTCACAGTGACAGTTAACCTGTTGAAAACTTTCTTTAAGCTTATTCATTTCATATGCTTTAAAATTACGCCATCTGTTCAACACAGACAAAAAAATTATTTTCCTTATGAAATTAGACATTCAACACTCTTCAATCTGCCGTTAGCGACTAGATAAATCCCAAACTAGTGAGAAAGAGGCAGTAAATGAAATTCATTGAGCAATAAAAAGCAAATTTTAATGGGGAATCGCCAAAAAAATAAAAAAAAAATAAAAAAATGCCTCTCTGCAGCGAAGTGACATAATCTGTTCGGTACATCTTTAGCAACTTGGCATTTTATTTGCTTGCTCTGCAATGTGAATCGCACAAGTAACCAGCTTGTTTATGCAAAAGCAAAATGTTATCCACACCGCAATAAATCATAATTTGGACAGTGGATGCTGTGAAGACGCAGCTTCAATATTTCCTCAAGTGGTTAATGTGTGTCTTTTTAAATGAGATAATAATGCAGATTAATTTTACATTATGAAAGGAGTTATTAGTAAGGAACTGCATTATTTTGATGCTGCTTATTTTTATTTAAATCAACCCACTTAGCTATGGGTCATATAGAGAAATGCCTCGATAAAGATTAGCAGCTTCTATGTTTAAACTGTTGTAATTGTTAAAAGGTGTGTTACAAATCAGTGCAGTCCTAATTGCAGCATGTTTTATTTTTATTTGATCAAACATTGTATAAATTGAAACAAGTTTAAAATGTAGCTCTGTGTGTTCCATTATCTTTTTACACTGAGTGAATATGCACCAAAGATGAGGCTCTGGCTCAGTTGAGTCACAAGACTATTGTAATGATGAGATGGTGTTTGCAAATTGAAGACTCTGTGATTAAGCAGATGGTAATCTCCTAAGAACAACACCCTGCTGCCGGGTTTAGAACTGCCAGACAAGAAGTGTAACATGGGAGCACAAAAACTCCAACAGATGAGCAGTCACTTAAATAACATTACAAATGTTAAAAATACACTTTGAAAAACAGTGTATTTCTTGTAAAAAGTGACTGGTAAAGGTCTGGTTACTGAAACGTTGTCTTGATCATTTTAAATAGTAATTTGAAAAGCTGCATTTCATATTTGTGTACTCGTAACTGACGTGATCATGAAAACTGCCATGATCATTCAAAAAGATTTATCTTACGACAAAAGTGAAAGAGAAACCTTACATCTCACATTGTAGTTGGAAACTTTAGTCCACTCTGCTGAAGTTATTTTTTTTTATGCACATTTCTCTTTTCATTCCCTAATAGGATTTTTTAATACTACATTGTCTGACTTGGGTGTAAATTTGCTGAGAAATCCACTTCAATTTCTTTTATTATTATTATTTGTTTTTATCTCCAAAATAATGAAATTCAAATTAGTCAGAAATAACCTGACAACATTTCCTAGATTTATGGACAACAGTAATTCCTTGCTACCTTAGTTGATGATCAAATAATCACATGCATTAACTCAGCTACTTTTCTTCGTATGTACCACAAGGGAGTGATTCAATTTTTGCCATAATTATAGACATATACAAACAGTCATAACCAGTAGAGGTAGTCTTACCACTCCCCACCACAACGCATCTGCATAGTTTCCAAACCCAGTGGAACCTGTGCTATCAGCTGCATCCTTTTCTGCCAGGTAGACAAAGTACGAAGAGAAGATCAGGCTCAGAAACCCAATGTACAGAGTAGTGATCAGCTCCTGAAATACACATGAAGCAAAACAATAGTTATTTCAATCTTAAACCAAATATCTTTTTAAGGTAAACTACTCTCTGATAGTTATCACTTCCCATAGGTGTCAGTTTTATTAAGGTTATTTGCTCATGGTCTCTCATATATAAGTGTTATCCAAATGGCATATGGATTTGAATATTCATGTAAACATGGTATGTGAATAAGATTAAAATATCCCATGTAAGTCATTCATCAGGTAAAAAACTGCCCTTTCAAAAGGGCATTTTATTCCCTTGCCAACCCTTAAACAGTCTAAAAATCAACTTAGATTTTCAGACTGTCATTCTGTGCTGGTGACAGAATGACATCAGGACAGATGTAATTCTGTTGTTATTGAAAATTGTTCTTCAATATTATCTTGGATCACAGTAAATAGACAAAACTTCTCCCAACAAGTATGTCCATGCTTTTACAAATGAAGCAAAAGATAAAGCTGTTATGTGCTGGGTTGTTTTGAGGTTTGTTATGTGTTCCTGACTCTTTCTTTCTTTGATTTGATCAGACTGATTTGATCCAGTGCATAACTTGTCCCTAGTTATTCCTTGTTACTCTAGTATAATTATGTTTCTTATACCTAGCTATTCTTTAGTTTTATATTTATTTCCTAGTCCCCTGTGTACTCTCTCTCCCTCTCCTCAGCCTGCCAGCTGCTCACACCTTCAACCTGTTAGCTAATCAGCCCGGGTCTTTTGTTCTAGCAGTCACCCTCACAGTTTTTAAACCCCTCTCTTCCTAACACTCCTTGCTGGTTCCTCCTGTAATACCCTGTTGTTAGCGTTTTTCTTGGATTTTTTTTTTTGTTTTTGTTGTGCTCTGACTTCCTGTGCTCCTTTGTAAGTTTTCATCATTTTCTTTCATAATAGAACAGTCACCATGATCCATGCTCGCAGCTCCTGCTCCATTTTAGAGTTCACCAACAAACACATCATGATAAAAACAATGCTTTCAACACAGCTTTATGAAGATTTTTCCATTTGTTGCTTTATTGTCACAAATAAATTATTATTTGATTTATTAAATTAAATTTATTAAAGGCCCTACACCAAAAGTTATTGCTCTCTAAAACTCAATACTGTGCTATCCTTGGCATCGAAAACTGCCATCAATGAGCTACTGGCAATGAGTCTCTTACATAGCTGTGTAGAAATCATGGCCCACACTCTTCTTTGCAGAGTTGTAGACATTCAGCCACATTGGGAAACTTTAGAGTCTGAATGGTCTGTTTACAGTCCAGACTTAAACTAGGTCACTGTAAAACCAAGCACCCAAACATAGTTAGAAATAGCTTTGCAGCTATTGTTTCATTGATGTCAATAACTTTGTTTCTTGTCTGTTTCTGGGTTTTGCTCTACAGCCCTGCAACATGCAAAAAGTGTCAAAGACAAAACATCGCCTCCTTATCTCCACCTGTTTGCATGTGAGTATAAACTACTACTAGAGAATAAGAAATGTAAAGTTAAATGTTTTATAGAATGCAAACGAGGTTCCTCAGAATGTTCTCATTTTATCAATTCATCAGGGAGGAAAACATCAGTGTGCATGTGTTTGTACTGCCATCATTTCCATCTGTGAACTGGATAACTGAGCCCCCTCACACTCCAAAAAAGAAAACGTTCCGCAACTTTAATGTTTGTAGATTTTAGTGTTGAGTCTCTTGGACTAAAATTACTCAGGGCTGATGTCCTGATGTCTTTTCAAGCTGTTGCACTGCAGCTCTAAAAAAACAAACAAAAAAACTGTGGAAGGTGCCACACACGACCAGTATTGCTTGTTAAGTGGATAAGTATTTACTACCACTGCCTGCAACAGCAGAAAATAGGAACCAAATGAAAAGAGGGAATAGTAGAAACACAATGTCTACCCCTGCAGCTTTGTTCATGCCCTCAATTAGTCAGAAACTTTGAGCACTCCTCTCTCCCCATGTGCTGCAATGAATAAAAAGAAAAAAAAAAACAACTTAAACCATATTATTGTAGTCACAATAAACAACTAACTACAATCTGCCCAGGAGGCAAAACTCTCATATATCATTGACGTATAATCACTTACTATCCGATTTAACATCTGTTTAGGAATCATGCTCCCCAGTAGTAATTATTTAGAATGACTTCCTGTTGAGTAAAACTACTCCATCTGGTATAATGTAACATTATAAACCCAGATAAAATTCTGCTTGTCATAAAAACAAACAAACAAACAAAACATGTAAAAACTTAATGGATTAACATATTTCTAACCATTATTCAATGTGTAGTGGCCATTTTCACCTGGCAACCTCTACTGAACACACATTTCCATATGCTAGACACCAAACTAGACAATTACATTTGCAAGCAAAAAAAAAAACAAAAAAACATTATAATGTTATTGTCAGTCTAGAAACTTCTACAGCATAACCAGCCACACACTGCATTGGGTTTTTTGGGGGTTACATGGGGCTTTGGAATATCATATGATTATGTTACTCTTAAAAAGGTAATTTGAAATGAAATGATGAGTACAAGATATATAAAGTTCAATTCTCACAGAGACAACACCTTTTATCAGAACTGAGTTTTATAAGGCCTCTCAGAGAGTCACTCTCGTAATCACACTCCTCTATCAGACGCCATTGGTGTTTGTGTGTGAAGACTGAGCCCTATTATGGGTCCAGCTCATATGTGTGAGAGTAATTTGGCGCTGAAGCCCTCAAATTTCCTTTTCCACAGCCTTGCAAACATGGGTTGGATAGTGAATAGCTTCTGTCTGCGAAGAACATGTTTTGAATTAAATGTCCATGTTTTGTGTGACCATCAGGTTTCAGCTGTTTTCAAAAAAAGGAGGACAGATTTGGTAATTAAACAAGATGAAACCTAAAGGGTGCCATGCCTATGTTTTCAGTCATCCAGAGATGAATGAAAACATCTCTGGATGCATTTTTTGCAGTTACAGCTGCAAGTCTTTTATGGTTTGTCTTTATCAGCATTTCATATGTAAAGGCAACATTTTCTGTCCATTCTTCTTCACAAAATAGTTCAAACTTAGGCACATCAATACTATTTGCAAACAGCAACTTTCAAGATCTGTCACAGACTCTGAGTTAGATTGAGGTTTTGACGTTGACTGGTTAATTCTAACATGCGTTGCTCTGAACCATCCATTGTAACAATGGTGCATGGCTGGGTGTTACAGCTGTCGTCCTGCTGCAGGGTAAGCTTCCATCTTAGGCTCAAGTCTTCTGCAGTTTCTAATAGGTTTTCTTCCTGGACCGTTTTGTATTTAGCTCCATCCATCTTCCCATTAACTTTGGCCAGCTTCCTTGTCCCTGGTGAGTAAAAAGCTTTCCTGTACCATGATGCTTACATTACCATGTTTTACCATAGTGATGTCATGTTCAGAGTACAGTGGATCCTGCTAAGTTATCATGGACCTTGGCTGTTTCTTTGATTAATGTGCTTCTTGCCATGTATGTCACTTAGGTAACAAACATACTTGATGACAATGTCTTGGTAGCCTTGCCACTGAGATATACTATTTACATTTTAATATGATGGATTCAGCAGTGCTCACGATGTGTTCAAAACTTGAAATATTGTTTGATAATGTAATACTGCTTTAAACTTCACTCCATCTTTTTCTGATTTGTCTGGTGTGTTCTTCATCTTTATGAACATGTTTCTTTGCGTTAGCTCAGTTTTTCCCAACCAAAACGCTCATCTGTATAAACACACCTTCTGCACTCTTCCCCCCATTTGCCTTGAACCAGCCACCAGCAAGTCTCAGGAGGAGAAAGGCTGTCATTCTCCAATTGTCACACCAGTCAATTTAAGCATGCTCATTTGTTCCCCGAAAAATGATAAAATGGAAAAGTGGACGTTATGCTGCTAGCACTTAGCAACAACTCATAGGTGGAAGAGAGAACGCTGCCCAACACAAATAATGATCCAGCCGGAACACGGTGTGCTAAATAGTAAAACATAATTTAACGAAGCTTCGAGGCAGATAAATGTTCCTTGAGGAATTTTAATAATCAAGGTACTCAAATCATTCGAGGAAACGTTGCAGCCCTACTATGCATGAATGGAGAATCATGCAAATCCCAAATAAACCCCAGGCTGGCTTTCATAGGCAGATCTTCATCATCATCTTCATAAGTCTTACACAGAGTCACAGAGTCATCCTTGTAACAATTTTTGAAGGATGATTATTTTGAAGGTATAACTTGAATAACATGAGTATAAATAAGATTAATACACGGTGTGCTTCTGCTTTATCTTACATTGGCTTTTTATGCATTTATACTGTTTTAATAAGTAACTTTTAACAACCTATAAAAAGGCACCTGATGTAGCTATTACTCAAGATTAATAGAAAAGTACAACAATGTACTTATTATATCACCATCTGGCACTGTTAATTTTAAAAGGATGGGTGAACATCTTGTGAACATTTTGTTTTATGTTTAGACATTTTTACAGAGCTGTCAACATCACCGATCTCTGTTTGGAAAAGGTCTCTGATATTTTCCCTGCACCCATATTAACTGTCTTCATATCTAAAGTCAGCAGCTGTCGATAATCCTCAGAAGCTATAAGTGATGTAGCCATCATGAAGGCAAGGAAGAACAGCAGGTGGCCCTGAATGAGTAAAACTCCTGACACCCTGCTCATCACTCATCACTTTCATATGGACATTAAAGGCAGCTACCATGGCCACTGGGGATAATCACAGCCACCTCTGTGTCTCGGTTAAATGACACCCTGGAGAAAGACATAATCCTTTCCAGTTAATGTGTCTATAAAATTAAAAAACCCAACCGTGTTCATAACTGAGCTTTTTCTTGTACTTCTCTGCTCTGAATACTATTTTTGACCGTATGATGTATATTCATGTGAAGACCATCCATTTCATTGCATAGTGAGAAAAATAATACATGATGTGGAGAGGCTATTACTCCCCAGATGGAGAGTCCCCAGCTTATTTATAATAGTCTGAAACCCCAGTGACAGGAATGACTGTGGACTTGAAATATACAACACATTTAGAGTTGTGATTTTGTACCTGCCGATGGATGAAGACAACTGAGCCCAGGAGACGCCAGGTTCCTCCCTGCCTGTCAACGTGCAGCATTCGCAGGATCTGCAGGAAGCGAATCCCTCTGGAAAAATGCAACACTTTTTACCTGCTGACAATATATGTTTGCCAATTGCAAGTAGAGATCCCAGTGCAGACAATAGAATGGAAGCAATAATAAATGTTACATAAATTAAGCTTCTAATGAAATGCACCAAATGACTTTAAGGTTGGGGTCATGTGGAGGACAGCTGTCACTCTAACCTGGGGCTCTACATTGCCTTGCAAAGCTTCTCCTACATCATAATCTTGCCCACAGTTTGACAAGTTACAGCCACAAACTTTTCAGTAATTATGTAGGATTTTATGTTGTAGACCAATGTAAAGAAGAGCCAAACTGTAAAGTAAAAGGAAAGTTTTACTTGATATGTTACAAGTAAAAATCTGAAAACCGTGGTGTATTTGTGTCCGGTTAACAGACAGATCAGAGGTAACACCAGAAATAACATTCTGAAGACTTGTTCTGGTTTTAAAATAATACCCCAGACTTCAAAGATCTTACAGAGCTGGGACAAAAAGATATGGCACAATTTCAAACCAAGTTGTTAGTTATAGACTTTAACTGAAAGGCCAGACAAAAAGACCAGCAGTCGAAAAGCCAATAAGAACAGTGGATAAAGATCCATATGTCCATAGTTCAGGTGGAAGAATCTATTGACAGTACAAATATTGGTCATGGATGCCACAAATCGGATTTTAATTTAAGAGTCTCAAGAAGAAAATAGTTTTTGAAAGAAAACCGATAGAACTCCTGTTTGCAGCTTGAAATACCAAATAGAGGAAGCATAGTCAGGATGTAGAAAAGCAAGCACAGGGTACTCTGCTCAGATGAGGCCTTCATGTGACTTTCTGGTTTTAATATACTATATGAAGCAGAAAACTAACAATCCACATTGCCCCTAACACATCATCCCTACAATAAAACATGGTAGTGGCAGCATCACCCAGTGAGTAATCTCTTCTTCAGAATAAACAAAGAAACTGATCAGATTGGAAGGTGGATCAAGCGAAATACAGCAGTGGCAAGTTTTGAAAATGCATGTTTTACTGACACTCATCTGGAATGGGTTTGTGAAAATACTTCAACCTATTGGTATGCAAATCCGACTGGGACATGAATGTTAGATTATCTTCAAAGTATTGGGGACCTGCATGGAGTTGCATTCCAGACTGCTCAGATTTCTATTTGCTTGTTCTTTTTCATTCACTTCACAAATATGTTACTTTGTGTTGATCCGTTGCACAAAATTCCTTTGAAATACTTTTGCAAGGCATGCCTGCACATAATAGGACTAAAGTATTTACAAGTATAATTTACAAGATAAACTTATACCTTGTTAATTTATACCAAGGTAGAAGAGAGCTTAGGGTCCTGGATGTCACTCTAAACTGGTACTCTAAAGAGTTTGTATTTCATTTTCTACCTAAACACATAGAATTACTTACCTTACAGCAGAGGTGGCGAAAACCTGGCCTTTCGAACCCACTGACAACACAACTATTGAAGCGACAACCACTATCAGATCTGTGATAATGAAGCACATGAATCTCCGTAGTTAGGGACATGAACATATTGAAGTTGTTCATCAATAAGACAATAGGGGTTTATCTTAGGATAAAAACAGATTAGGAAAAGAAAACATTTGGTTTTTTTTAAAAATTCAAAGTAATTATTTTAATCAGGTAAAATGCGAAGGTGTGAGTAATAATAATATTCACACTGGCACATTTAAGAATAAGCACCTGGAGGCACAAATCTCAACAATAGAATCTAAACGCAAGAAAATATTGCTGTGACAGTTTTAATTTCATGCCGAATTTGTCTCAACTATCTCATTTTAGGAAGAGGCTCGGGCTACATTGCCAGTTATTGTTTAAAAATTGCAAGAGTGGGTGAGGAGTGACATGTCTGCTTGTGTGCATGGGTAGAGATATACAAGTGTATGGGGATTGTGTTTTCACCTATAATAGATATTGGCTTCCTGGCAAAGCGCAGTCGGCCCCAGATGCCAACATATTTACTGCGGCAGCCTGCGGACCAAACGCGGACGAAATATTCCACACCGAAGAACACCACAAGGACGATCTCCTGTTAGACAAATGAGGCAGAGGGACAGAAGGATAGAAAAACAAACATCAGATGTTGTTGCAGGTTACTTGGTGCAACAGCACCTGAACAGCTGTTCAGGTTTGTGCCTCCTTCGCTTTAAAACAAATATGGTTAAATTATAAATGTGAGCACTCTGCAAAGCTTTTCACACTGTCTTAATCTTGTCAACACAATTAATTAAGGATTATTGATTCTCCCTCAGAAGAGACGCCATTTGTTAGTGTTCCATTCGTGTCACCTCATTGATGAGTTCTCTGACTCGGCTGCAGTGCACTTGTGCCTGATTAATATGTGACTAAGACATGTTTGTTCAAAGAATTTGTCTGTATTGTGTTGTTTTTAAAGAAGGGTTCTTCAGATTGTTTTTCATCTGATTTTTCTATCAGGATCCCTCTTGGAGAAAATTATTATCGTTGAAGGTTGTGATTTCCCGATGTAAACAGAGGCATAGATTTTATAAAAGATTGATGGAGCAACAGAATATGACCTAATTATTGAGTGTCCCTCAGCAGATAAGCAATTTGTTTATGTTTAACTGGCACCAAATTATGGAATTGTCCTATAATTCATCTGCTGTCTATATGTAGCTAATTCTGATTTACTGGTGCATGATATCTAGTGGCTGCTTGGTCATTTTTATAGGTGACATCTGTGGTTAGGTATCATGGAAAAAGGCTTAGTACTGCATTTATACAGTACTAAGAGGATAAGAGGAAAAAGAGGATATATATATATATATATATAAATTAGGAAAAAAAATATAATATACACAATCTAGTTCAATTCTGGATCAACTTATAACTGAACTAGATTCGTTTAGTTCTAACAATTAATAACAAGGACTCTAAATGTTAAACTTTATATAATATCTTAACCTTGGCCATAGTTGATCAAGAGCTTTTTATTGCACAGGGGACAAAATAATGTTTGTAGTAATTGGACCTTCAAGGAAAGGAGAATACATTCACATTCTAAAGCAAGATGGCTCTGTGTTGGCAAGGCGGTTTTATTTTTATTTATTTTTTTTACAATCTGTTTTGTGAATTTTAGAAGCTGAATTTGCTCAAAATGAAATACTCTGAATTGAAACTGGCAACATTATGTAAACAACAATGCTTCTGACTGGCAAAAAGAGGAAAAATAAGCTATGTGAACCAAAACTCTTTGACTCCAACTAAAATTCTAATCAATGAAGCAGAAATCTTGCATGTTCTAAAGCTGCCATTTAAGTCCTTTATTTTTTCTCATTTTTTTCTGCACGGCAGGTCACTACTTGCATGGACAGTCTCAATTCTGATTGTTTTAGTAGCTAACAATAAAATCTGAAATAATAAAATGAGAATGTAATACAAAGCTTCAAAAGCTTTTTATTACATTAGAATCTTTGTGATTCAAGTTTTTGTGCATCATTTAACAAAACAGATTCCAAAGTGTTCATTATGAACACTTGGTGATCATTTTATCACTGATACAAAAGTAGTTTGAACACTTTTATACACAGAACAAACATAGCATAATGACCACCTGCCAAGTAGTTTGGAGATCCTGATATTTTTGGGAAACAGACCTCACCAAAGCATGAACTCCACTAGACCCCTAAAGGAGTGCCTTGGTATCCAATACCACGATGTTAGCAGCAGATAACATCATGGTATCTGCTGCTAACATCGTGTAAGTTGTTATATTGGGTTGAGATCTGAGAAATTGTGAGATCACACTCAGACTTCAAACTTAGTTACGTTCCTCGAACCAATTTCTTGATTTTTGCTATACGTTAGAGAGCATTAGTCCGCTCAAAAAAATCCATGACAATTTCTTTCAGTGTGAAGACCCGGACAGGTCTTTAGCTATGCAGAAGCATACATGCAAATATTGTGATGCCCTTGTATGATTAACTTATTCGGTGATTTAAGCTGCAGAAGCTAACGTGTTGGACCAGATCACATGGGCCAGCTTTCTCTCCCCATGTGCCTCAGCAGAGAACTTTGACTTTGTCAGCTACATTTGATACTGTTGAGCTACATTTGATACTGGACACTACAGACTGGGAATATCTCACAAGATTTACAGTTCTCTGGTCTAAGGAACGCTATGATATGTTAGTACCTAGGCCTGACCACACATTACTCTTCTTTTTTCTTCTCTAGGCAAATGATTGACAAAATGTTCTAAACATTCAGGTGGATAATTTATCTGAGAAATTAAGATTGCAGTGGCTTTATGTTGTACAATCTTACTAACTGCATATTTCAAGTCCTTCCCAGATGACTTTATTGGACAGAAGTAACTTTCTAATCGCTGGTCTTCTCTCAAAACTATTGTCCAATAGTCTTCACCTTGCTGATGCACACAACTCCACCTGCTGCCAGTGCTGAGCAAGCTCTGCGTTGGTGGAAACATGATTCATTAGTGCCCTCCTCAGGTGGAAAGTAATTATTCTTTTTGATGGACACTGAAAATCTTAAGCCCTTTCCATAATGCAATTTAACATCTGATGTTGAATGTTTTGATATTTCTGGCAACTGTTTCTTTCAAGGAAATATTCTTTGCAACATTCCTGTCATATATTAGAACAATTTGGTGCAAAACGGCAAGGTTTTGTTTTTTTTGTAAGCATTGCTAAAATAAAAGGATGATTGAAAATGACAAAAATAAAAAGACAAACCCCTGCATATGTTTCCTTTATAGCAATTAGTCTACTAATTAGATTGGAAGGGTTTTTTAGTAATGGAAAAATACAGGCAGTCTGTCTTTTTTTTTTTTTAATCTTGCATAGCATGAACATTCTATACAGTCTAAAAACTGACTAATTCCACCTGTTCATTTTTTTTTTTAATTCATGGTGATTGAATACATTCAACACAATGGACATCAGCTATTTTATTTTCACCCAAGTTTAATGCCACCTTGCAATAAAGAAGGACCACTAGGTGAGTCCAGTGAGTAGAAACTAATGATATTTTGTAAAATGCACTTTCATCCAGCTACGTCTTAATATTTGACAGCCGTAAGGAAAAAGAACTGAGAGAAAGTCAATAGCCGCTTCAATTTCTATTTTTATGATGACACCATGTACGGAGTGAGTGATGGGAGAACACTAAAGGGTTCTGACAAATGATGTTTCCATGTTGAACTTCACATTTTTTCAGCAGTGTTCTTAATAGTGCTTTCTTTATCAGAGTCAATGAATATAAAATAGCACCGTTTGAAAAGAAAATTGGATGAATAATATGTTTAATTGTACTCCTGGAAGCTAATGTTCAGCCAACTGCTTCATTTCCTAATTTAATCACTGGTGGGTTTTACTTTGCGGTTGAAAAATAAGCTGCTTTTCCCCCCAAAAAAATAATAAATAAATAAATAAGAAGCAACACACCAACAGCGAGGGATGAAAAAATATGCAGAAACCATTTTCACTCACTTAAATCTGTAAGATATCAAAGAAAGCCAATGTGTGATCACAAATGGCCAAATTAGTCAAACCAACAGAGACTTTTTAGCTATATCTTCATCTGTATTTTATTAGGTCTTTTTTATAACTTAACACAGAAGGCACAGAAGGAAAATGTTCTGCTAGATGTGTGTGATGAGTTATATAGAGGGATACCTTTGAACTTACAACAGAAGAAAGAAAAAGGCCAAACATTTTCTTTGCTTTCTTTGCAAGTTATAACTTAAAAGTAGCAGCTGTTTTTGAAAAAAAGGTTAGCAACTCAAAAATCTAAAACCCATTTATTAAATTAGTGAGGAGATTTTAGATATAACACAACACATTTTAATCATAATTGAAAGTCAAATTGTATCTTTTAATAATGTAAGTTACTTCAGATTGTTTTGAGGTTTATTTTACCCTTGCTGTGTATTTTACAATAGTGACAATAGAAGCCTATATCATTAACTCTCTGTCTTATTTTATGGCAGTTTTATAGATATATGGGGACGTATGTTGCATAAAGATGTGTCTGCTTTCCAAAATCATAAATTAAGACGTCAATATGAAACTGTCTTCAAGTGTGTTAAACTAATAAATTTAATCTCCACACAAAGAAATAGGCGATCTAAGCTATGCGGGTAACTTTTGTAACGGCTGAATTTCAACTCACATTGTGTTTAAATTGAAATTATGTTACAGCTGTGTGAGAAAAGGCAGCTTGGGGGGACATGTTGCTGAAAAGATTGTGAAGACTGGCCCATTTATATGATTTCAGAGGAAATCTATTTGACAGATATACAACACTGGTGCCCAAGCTACACTAATGCCTTGTGAAGGAAGTTTCATAGATAATCGAGGAAGTTGGAGCAGAAGTCACTGCACATGGTTGCTGCAAGGAGTCTGGTAGATTTTCTGACCTCGTTTTAATCACCATAACATCGGGGATGTGTTGTGTGTTCCTTTGTGTCTTGGGCAATTCATAGTCTGATGCATATTGATTGCTAATGATTTCACTGTGATTATCAAGTTGGAAAAAGTCATGCAATTAAAAAAAAATCTCAAAGTCATGTATCATCTTCTTTTCAATTCATTTTCTGATTATTTTTATCTCTTTTTTTATCAATTAAAATACAAATAAAATACATTTAAGTTTGTGTTTGTGATTTGGTAAATGTGGACATGAAATAAAGTTTCAGAATGTGCCAGAAAATTCTACAGAATTCCACTAAAAGACACATATTTGTGAATAAAGATATAACAATTAAAAAGACAAAAACCAATACATCTTTCTAACCTCTAAGTCACATAATGATCACAGGCCCACCTTTTTCTGCTCCTGCTCTTCCTTTTCTCTCATTACAGAAGCCACAAGGAGAACAATAAATCTAGGATTCCTCCCAAAGTCATTTCCCCCACACAGAGTCCAAGTCCCAGGGTTCCTCACAGCAACATCTTTGACCCAAATCAATCATCATTTTACATGCAAACTTTGTTTATACTCCCACTTATGTAATTTCTTAGAAGAAAAGGAAATCAGCAATGGGTAAAAAAAAATATCTTTATTACTAATTAAAATCTGAGGTGAAACATCTTATTCAATTCACTCTGAAACTTGACACATTTATTTAAATGGTCCATATTTTGCATCCTAAAAAGTGAAAAAAATAAAAAATAAAAATCTTTGGCGCAGACTGCCAAGCATCTGACCAAAAGCACATCAGCCAGAGCTGCATCTCAAAGCACAGTGCAGTGTGGTCTGTGTTAACCTTGTGGGAAGGAAGAAAGAAGGAAGACAGAAAGAAAGGCTTATGTCACAGAGGAGGAATGAATGAAAGGGGTGGAGGGTCAGAGAAAATCTCCCAACTAGAAAGCACCAAGCACTAAACAGTCCCCCTGGGTCAGAGAACGAAACAGATGATTGTCTGGGATTTCTAGAGGTTCAGTCGTAAATATTAATTATGCATTATCTGAGTCGAGAAGAACAGGAAGATTAAACATCTCCTGAGGGGGAACCTAAGGTGGAAAATATTTTTGCAAAGGAAATGTATATTTCCTGATAATGCGATAATGACAAAATTAACAATTCTTCATTTTAATTACAGATCCCGCTCACACAATCATGTTGTACTGTTTTCCTCACGAAGCTGATAATATACTTCTAGGATCTGGCACTCTATTATAACAGCTCATGAAGGACTTGTTCTCGTCTCATCCAAATATTCTCAGTCCAAGGTGAACTTGTCACATGCAGCATTCGTCATTTCTACACACAGCAAATCCTCAGCTCTTTTTTATTCCTTAAATGGGTTTTCTTTCATCTGAGTTTGAGGGAGCCACCACCCAACTGTTCCCTGACTGAGAAGATTGGGGTTAAATTGATCCCTTTAAATATTGATTTTAGAGGAGTTGCGTTAGCTCTGCCAAGCCACCAGGACACACTGAAATTGTTTTTAAAAATGCGTTGTGCAGTTCCATGTGAACAGTTCTATTTGAGTCCGATTTTTGAGCCTGTTAAGCACTAATATTACTTTTAAGGAAATGAGATTTGATATTTGTAATTTTTATATTAAACATTTAACCAATTCATTTTAAACTATTACAATTACCCAATCAATTTGCACCAACACAATTTGTAAATTGGTACTTTTCCTTCTACATGAGCTTTAGTTTTTCATTCATGTAGTTCAGCTGACAGACCTTCACACTCAAAGTGTGTATTTTTTGTCGCTGTGTGCCATGGTATTTCAATAAGATGGGATGTTATGAACAGTTCATAATAATACTTCAGCAGCTCATTTATCTACATGGAACACATCATATAGATTAATTGCACACTGATGTTATTTCCATTGATTATGATGATTTTCCACATACAGTTCATGAAAAAACAAAACAATAATAATAATAATAATAATAATAATAATAATAATAATAATAATATTCAAATATTACTTATTAACAACCCAGTGACAAAAGTCTAAAATGAACTTAATCTTAGCTCAACTGAGCAAATAATATCTGCAAAAATTATTAAAGTAATTTCCATCCAAGTAATAGGTAATTATTTTTTGAGGAAGAAGAGTCAGTTTTCTACCTCGGACTGTCATACTCTATATTGGAATTTAGCTTTATTCAATCACAGAGGGAGTGTTCATATTTACAGAGTATTCATCCACATATCTTTTTTATTTACTTGATTAATCCTATCAAGAGTGTAAAGCAGGACAAACTCCAAGCAATGAGAAGACAAACAACCGTCAACACATGCATAATGGCAATTTGAAGCATCAAATAGTGGTCTGACTGTGGCTGGGAGCCGGAAAACCTTGAGTAAATCCCACACACAAAAGATATAAACTCTACACTGAAAGGGAAGTTCTTTCACAGAATGTTAAAATCTCTGTCCTTACAGAGATTTTAACATTCACCTTCAAGCTCTGTTTCAAGAGGGTTATTCTTTGCTCTACAACACAGCATTTAGTTAGAGGTGATGCTAATTATCTAGATGAAATTCACAAAGATCAATGATATTGGTGGATGTGCGGATCGAAAGGAAATCCTACTTTGTTTTTTTTCACTGATTGAATCAAAATTAGCTACTATGTGAACTAACATCACTCCAAAGAAAATAAACTTGCTAAGCCAATATGTTTTTAATATGTTTTTTTTTTTTTTTTTGTCACAGTTTTTCTGAATGCCAATGATTATTGCTTTTTTGGGCATTTTTAGCTTAGGTTTACCAGAGTATCCCATACAAGTTGAGTTTGTCACACTTTGTAATGTTTTCAAAAATAGTTTCATACTCGGATGGAGATTTCACCTGAAGGATTTGTTGCCATGACAAAAGTGATATTTTTTATGTTATGACTGTTGTGTTTTTAATGGTTACGGGTTGTTATTAGTAGCATCTTCATTTTTCCACGAAGAATGTCAGAATATTTCTCTAAACTTACCATCCAGAAGAGAGTTGTGTGAGCCAGAGCTTGGAATTGGTCGATGGTAGAGAGGACACTGAGGATCAGACAGGCCAGTACTATGAGGAACCTGTACAGATCAAAGCAGAAAATGTCTTGATTGAAATGTTGTTTATGTTAGAAGTCACTTTCTATATTCCTGTGAGAGCTGAGTCTATAATTAAGCTGAACCAGACCTTCTACACCAATAAAAAAACACTTCTCAAATCAAAGCTCTATGTTGCTTGCAGTCTGTCAGGCAAACATGAATCTCCTCAATCCCTGCTCATATTTATGTCAACGTTTTAGATTCTGATCAAAAGTGAAAAGGCTTAACTCAACTTTGGTGTTTAGTTCAAGTATCTGACAAAAACTGAGGAAACTGTGCTCTCTGAAGGGAAAACTGAACTTTTAGAAAATGTATGCATATAAATGCAAAGAACATGCAGAATGTGTCATATGTTCCTATACAGAATTTTACAACCCACTTACACTATCTCTAAGTACTAAATTACTCTTTGACCAATATCCCTCTTGAGTTGAAAAGTGCTTCAAATGTGACAACAAAAAGATGTTCAAAACCCTTCAAGCTACTTATAAGAAGAAAAAAAAGAAAAACGCAATTCTTCAAGTAAAGGCTTGAAGCTGCTTTGACACTTCACCACAGAAAGAAGTAGCATCAATATAAATCCAGTTCTGACTCTTAGAGACCACAAATTTAGGGATGAACTGGATTTCATGAGTGTTTTATGAACATGTTTTTGAGATCTGAATAAAAAGAGCAGTTTGTTTTTGAAATCCAAATGTAGTAACTTGCAACCCGAAATAAAAGTCGGAATACAGTCTGCTACCCTGTGTATATCATTTTTCAGAGCTGTTCATAAAAGTCAATATGAGGGATACTTTTCAATTTCAATCGAAGAAGAGGAAGTCGGGCAAGCAGGGTGAACTGCAATATAACTCACGAGCCCATCTCAACTTATTTCCTCGCTCTCATGTGTTTCAACCCACCAAGTAGGACCAAAGTTCCTGTTTTCATTTCATTTGCTTCAGGTTTGTCTAGGTTTGGGCTAAATTTGGATGAAGGTGTTTCAGCGGTTCAGCTATTTACCAAGTAAAATAGAAAATGAACTTTTTATGAAATTTTGCAGAAAGGTTGACATTGAAGGAAGGACAAACTCATTATTCTGCTAGCAAGAGGTGGTGAGAAATGTGAGGATAAAAGCTTGAACGAGTGAATGAAATAGGAGATTGTGAATAAATCCAAAGGCTTGTTTTATACTTGTGATTCATTGACCTACATAGAAAGCAGCATGCAGTTAACATGGAATTAGGAGTAAATGTCATTTGCATAACAGCCGACAAGAAACGATCTGCCAGATGCTTTTCTTCGTCTATTATTGACAAGAGTGTAAAAGAAATTACTGTAATGACATCATCAATTCTTTTTTTTATACCCATCTAATCTTAGTCAAGGTCACTAGGAAGCTGGAGCCTATCCTAGCTTTAGGGTTTCCACACTTCCCCTTCAAATGTTGAATCATCCAATATTTAATGATGTGTGTCCCATATTTGTGAGTTATTATAAACACAGGATCTTCATGGATATCATCTTTACCATATCATCACGTGGTATAGCCACACACACTGACTTTCTTAGATACACCTCATTTAGACTCTCTTTTGCCTTCAAAAGTGCCTGAATCCTTTATGACACAGATTCAACAAAGTGTCAGAAACATTCCACAGAGATTTTAGTACATATTGACTCGATAGCATCATGCAGTAACTGCAGATTGGTTGCTTGCATATCCCTGATAGGAATGTTCTGTTTCACCACATTCCAAAGGTGTTCTGATGGATTGAGATTTGTCGACTGCGGATGCCTTTGGAGTGCAGTGAACTCACTGTCATGTTCAAGAAGCTAGCTTAAGGCCATTTTAGCTTAGACGTGGTCATTAGAAAATTGTCTGATCTGTCCGACTTTTTAGGCAGACCTAAGAAGACACTGTTGCAGTAATCAATGCAACTAAAGAAATAATTCTCTGGTTAATCGATTGTGTTCTTCTGATTCTGAAACTAGAAACAAAGGCAGATATTTCCCAACAATAATTTATTAGTAAGTAATACTACCAGGTCATAATCACAAGCAGGTTTCTTTTTCACAAAGTAAAACAAGTATGTGCAGTACATATTTGCAAAGTGGTTATATAATATATTTCCAATCTAATAGACTCCCCTGCCTTTTTAAATCTGCAGCAGTGAACTAGAAACATGCATCACTCAGCAATTATTTGACAGGTCAGAACTTTGTTTTAATTTATTTTCACCCCCTTCATCTTTGATCATTTCAATACCTGCTTTGTTTGTGGAGTAAGAAAAGCTGGAATTTTAAGCATTGTCTTTTCTGAACTTGTGAGGGGTTGTCTTATCTGCATATAATTAATGCACTCATCTCAGAATCAAGGGCAGAAAATAAGCACGTCACATTTTAAAAACACATTTTAAAAACAGAGGATGTAGTATCTTGCTGTGTTGAAAAACCCCAAAAGAAGTGTTCAGGTAATTCTGAAAACAAAAAACAAAATCTTCATGAACCCCAATTTTGACAGAAAAAATGTAGCTCCATCCCAATTTTATCCCATGCTGAAGTCTTTGGAGTGTTAAACCCCCAAAAAAGAGATTACTAAGCTATGATTGATGTGGAAATAGACAAAGAAATTCACAGAATGTGAGCGTGATTTTTTTATGTGTAATTTTTACTACTGTTTTACTTGCTGCCTGTTCTAATATTTAGTCAAAATTGACCCTAGTCAGTGTTTACAGTAAGCGTTGGACCTCTTGCTCTCATTGCTCATTCAGACTTGGGTCTTAGGAAGTAACAGTTTTTAACATTATATTTGCGCAAAATAAATCCCATATGAATGAAACTCAGCGAAGAGTTTCATTGTAAAATAATGAAACACTCAGGTTTCACCCTGACACAGCTAAAAAGCTATAAGCTAATGGAACATTATCAGATTCTGTGGATCATGTTACTTTCAGATGAATATCTCATACTGCTATAAGCTTCAGGATTAATAAAGAGACTATGTAGATTGTCTCTTTGATCCCCATTACTCTTGTTAACCCATACAGTAGATAATGGTAATTTACTGAACAAGTAGAATAATCACCATCTCAATGAGTTGCTGCTCTCCAGAGCAGAGAACATGTGGCTGTTATAACACTGCTGAGTTTGAAAATGACAACATTAACTAGATTCACTGCAGAGTCACTCTGTGTTATCACTGCAGAGCAGATGGACATGGATCTCATACATAACTGTGAGCATCCAAATTGTAACATTTACATTATTCTCTCAGTGCACCTGGATGACATCTGTGAGCGAACCTTAAAATGGTGACAGCTGCAGACTTAATCTACACAATTAAGACTGAAATATCAAGGTAAAAAGTCACAAATGTCAAAATGCCGGCTGAATTACCGCGAGTCAAACCAAGGGAACAGCTTTAAGATCTCTGAAACGCCAACAGTTGAAGGTATAACTAAAATAAATTTCAGGAAATTGGCAGCAAATAAGAAAAAGCAACAGAAAGGCTTATAAAAGAAAACAATGGAAAAGACAATGGGTCCAGAAAAGCTTCAATGCAGAACAATGGAGAAAAAGACAGTTCAACTTTGTGTCTATCTCCTGACACATGGTGATACTTCAAAGTCAAGGAATTTTACCCAACATCAATTTTTTTTACCTGTTTTTATTTTTTTTTCCATTTAAACACTGCCAATATGTCAAATTCAGAAAATGCATAAACCTTTGCAACTCTAATAGTGTATCTTTAAACCAAAAAGTGATACTTGCATAAAGCATGACATTTTATGACATCAATAAAAATGTGGTCCTTTGTCTTGTCTTTGAGGATTTCAACTTTTACTAAAGAATCACAAGTCATCACAGAGTTAATCCTATTCGAGTAGACCTGATGGAAAGTATGTGTAGCAACAGTTTTGTTTGCACCACGAAGACCCTTATCACTTCTTGCTACTGATCCCCGTTTACTGAAGTCCAGCCAGGAATCCAAATGCCCCCCCTCTGAGCTAACACATACACACACAGTGAAAAACGTGCACACCACACGTCAACACAGATAAAAGACCGAGGAGGGATCTGCTCAGGGCTGCTGGATAACACCACTAAAGCAGATGGTCCTGTCTGAAATGACTAAACATGGAGACAAAACAACACAGTAAAAATGACACTGGAGTCCCCTAAATTCTGTCCCCAGGATGTTGCATATGTAAATGAAAGTCTGTTTGTCTTCTGGAAAGTGAAAAGTAAAATAGCTGTAATACATATTTAATCACTGGTCAATGCATATTTATGTCACTATATGTGTGACAGAAGCAGTGAAAAAAATAAAAAAATAATGAAAACAGACAACAGCAGAGGGAAATCTCCAAATAATCATTCTGATGCGATAACTATTATTTTTTTCAGTGAAGCCCTATCTAATTTATTTTGTCATTTGCAGTGACAATAAGCATAAACAGTAAAACAATCCTGAGCTTTGATTTTTGCTTCACTATTTATTTAGCAAATACTTTCTAACTTGTCTTTCCCTCACCACTAACTGCTCCATCATACTACAATTCCTTTACCTCAAGGCCCTTAGAAAATACAGCCTCTGTCTCTTTTTACACCCAAGGGCTTGGTGTAGCAACAGACAAAATAATACATTGGCTCAGCAGCACAGGCTCCACTGAACTCTAAACAAAAGCTCAAAGCATTCCACCTATCTATTATTGATGGACAGGTTCACTTGCACACTGTTGTACTGTGTGTGTAGAAAAGCAAGACCTTGGGGTTACCCTACTGACCATGTCACTAGCTACTATTATGTTTAATCCATCAAGAAATAATTCCTAAATTGATTTAAGGCTGCAACATAGATGGTGTAAGTCTTTGTCAAATTATAAGTCCAAAGTGCAGCTAGCACGTAAATAATAGGTGAAAGAATGTTGTTATTGTGGCTCACTGAAAATGTGTGAGAATCTGTTGAGATAAGTTGCTGATATTTTAGGGTTAAGTTTAACAAGGTGTAGAGAAAACTGGAGCACCTTGAATTTGAAAAGAGAGAAATCACACAATTGCAGTAAACAATAAAATAAAATACTAACAGTAAGTCAAAATGTGTCTTTAATGAAGACGGGTAACGCTTTGTGATCTCTTAGTCTTTTTGTTAAATCATTGATGCATGTCTGAACGTCCTGCCTCTGACTGTTTGTCAGAATAAGTAGTTTAGTTTAATAGAGCTGAGTTTGGAAAACACTTTGAGATATCCGTTTTCTTTTAACTCTCCCAGCTGACGCATCTAGGCCCAGCATGTGGGGTGAATCCATGCTGCTGCTGACCAAAACATCCCATTTAGCTGTTTGTCACTCCCACAGAACCACAAAGAAAAAAGTATTGCTGAAACAAAAAGGAGAACTAAATATGTATAACCATTCTATGCTGCAGTGTTGCAATGGATTGTATCTGTTCCATGAAGCTAAATATGTACTTGTACATATTTACATATTTTCCATACATATATTGTACATAAAACATAGTATTCATAATATTTACAATAACGAAGTTCTGTACTGAGCCCCAGATATCTGCAGGAAGATTTCATATCACAACACATCTGTTTATGATCTAGCTACAATTTATATAATAAGTATTTGCACAGTGCCTTGCTAAAATGTTTTTACCATTTGAACTTTACCACATTGTATCACAAAATATTCTCAGACTCTATGCAACTTCAGTGTATTTTATTGGAATTTTAAAAGATACACATGCAAAGTAGTGCACAATTGGGATGTAAAACGAAAGTTATGCAATGCCTCAAAATGGTTTTACTAATAAAAACAAAAATTAAGGAAGCTAAATAGAGTGAAATCCTCTACTGTTCAAGTGTGGGGATAACTTTAGAATGGGACAGAGGTTCACCTCTTAGCAGGACAACCACCTTAAACATATATCTATAACAGCAAATAACTTTAGATGGGAACATGTTCTTGTTCAGAATGGCTTAGTCAAAGTCCACATCTCCATCCAGTTGAGAAGCCATTCAAAATGGATGTTTCCAGATATTCTAAATCTATTTAAATGAACTTCAACTGTGTTGCAAAGAAGAAAGGGCAACAATTTAGTCTATGCAAAGCAGGGAGATTGATAAAATAGGTCAAAAGACTTGAATTTTTATTGTTGAAATGGGACTCTAAATAATATCGACTCAAATGCAAGGTACACTTTATTCATAAAAAAACCTTTTAAAAACCATGTGCCTCCATATTTCTTTATCTATTTATCTTATTATTTTACAGTGAGCTATCACATAAAATTCCAATAAAATGTATTAACGTTTGAGGTGAGAAATTGACAAAATGTGAAAAAGTTTAAGATATATAAATGCTTTTGCCAGGTCTCACATGCGATTTCATATGTTTGAACAGAAAATGTGAATTCAATTGTTTTGTCCCTCCAACCAAAGCTGTATTTTCCCGTAATGTCAATTGAAGAGGCCATGAAATATATCCTTTATTTAACTCTGACCTTGTTTCTATCCACAGCCGCTAACACAAACACATTTGGAAATATGAGACGTAGAAATCAGCCATGTAGACCTTCCATCACCACTTTTAGCACAAATGTGCAATTTCATGCTACAACCTGCTGCATCACTCTCACCAACCTTTTACAGTCTCTCACACTGCTAAGCATCTACAATCAATACAAAAGCCATTGACATCATATTTGTTTTAGGGGGTGCAGAGAAAGGCCAATTTCATTAAACCCTCAGGCCAATAAAGTCATAACATTAGTGAAACAAGAACCTTCCAGTAACATGGCAAAGAATGCTGTCATGAGAAAAGGAGCTGAGCTGCAGCAAACAGAAACATTGCACCCCCAGAAATGTAATGACATTAGTGAGTAAGCACATTTTTTCTAAACATAAGTAGATTAAACAAACACAGAATTTAAAACCAACAACTACACGCAACAAAGGCAGGAAGATTGTTTTTCAAGAAATATCATTTAAAAATCCAGTAATTCAAGGTCTCTCTTGAACAAAGACATTTTTAATCTCAACGAGACATACCTGGTTGAATAAAGGCTACATACATGCAAAACTGAACAAAGAACAGTGTTTAACCATATAATTTCCTTTCTGAAATGCTCTGTGAACTTGGCGTTTAAATATGCTGGAGTTGCATTACGCTCGCTCATGTTCCCTTTGAGTCACTCAGATTCTAACCCGCTCCGACAGGCTGCGTTCCTCTGTGTCCCCACCGACACCAGAGGGTCACAGGGTAGCAGGGCAAGACCGGGCCGCTGCCTCCTCCACAGCATGCACCCTGCCAAGTTTAGCTGCCCGCTATCAGTGCCAGTAAGCAGGGATGGACAGCACACATGGGGGTGTGCTAGAAAACCATTCCAAAACCTCTGGCTGGTTACCATTATATGCATCCAGTTTAAAGCTTGTGAGTTTCATGGAGGTGGATTGCATCAATTCAAAACATAAACAGAGACTTTGCTTGATATTTCATCTGTGATGTACAGAAACTAGAAAGAAAAGAAAAATAACATTGCACCTGGCAGGAGAGATTATGTGTGTTTTTAAAAGGATCTCTGAGTACAATACAGTCAATCCTTAAAGCAACTCTGGAAAATTAAATACAGATTGGTGCTTAGACAAAAAAAAAAACAAAACATGTTTCCAAATTAAAAATGTGTGTAAAAGTATCATCACAGTGCTCCCAAGGTTTCATACATTTTAATGGATCACATTTATTTTCAGGCTAGTCCTTTCATCCTTCCCATTGGAAACTAGAGCTGCATGGACGTCTGATCAGCATCTTTCTTAAATTCAAAAGATTAACAGCTCTTTGTTGTAAGACCTTCCAATGCAACACTTTGCAAGTGCAACTAACTCCCTGTGTAATTTGAATCTGTTTGTAATAATCCCCACGAAATACCCCGCGGATCCAGAGGCTTATACACAAAGAAGATTTGAAGAAAAACACTTACACTGTGAAGTGATACATGAAGCACTTCCAGCCAGACGGCCTTTCCAGAAAGTTGTACACCCGTCCCTGGGTGTAGGCGCGGGTAACAGCTGGGCGAACCCCGGTGCTGTACACCGACATCCGCACAGACATCCGGGGATGAGACAGGTAGGGGTCCAGGTGAACAGGGGGAGCTTCAACACGGGACCTGCCTTCTCCTTGCATTGTGTCGTTGCTGCCCGCAGCTGTTCCTGATTCATGCCCATTGAAGGCGGTTTCCGAGAGCTCCAGATCCGGTGGTCTCTTTCCACGTGCCACTCCTGAAAACTTCCTGGAGTTCTTCGTGTTCTCCCGCCCGGGAGTAGAAGAAGTAGACATCTCGATCTTCCTTCTTTCTTGTATAACTTAACTTTTTCACAGTTTATTTTTTTTTTCCGGTCACTGAGTTAAAATGACAAATGTTCGCCCATTTGCGCACACCTTCTGTTGCGCGCCTGATCGCACCAAGACGCATAAAACTAGAGGAGGCTATAAACTCTGTTATTAATGCTCTAGATCACAAGTACGTTTTTTTTTTCTCTTCCTGGAAATAACTTCCCAGTTCTCTGGGTTGTTCAGGAAATGACAGGTCCCAGACTTGAATGGGTCTCTCTTACCTCTTTAGAACGCTTATCAGCCCGGAGTGCTGTCACCAGGCGGTGCGCTGTGAGCCGCCAGCTGATCGGTCATTTGCCAACTGTATGGCTGTACTGTTGAAAAGCAATGCAGAGGATGAACTCTGGCCTCTCCAAAGAATAAGCATTACATACTTCACTTTCCTCCCAAAGTGTAGACGTTGTTTATGTGATGTTAGTAGGGTAAATAAATGAACATTTCAAATTTGTTGTTGAACTCACATTTTTGTAGAGTTAAATAAACTGGCAAGACTTTTGTAAAATCCCTTAACCTCACTTTAGATATAATTTGTCACCTCTAAAACAGCTTGCTGTGGTCAACTTTCATATTTGTTGTATTTAGTTGTAGATCATTATTTGACTACCCTTATCACCCTTATTAAGTCCAATCAAAATTTTCTAAATATTCAGTGTAAGCATGTGTAGTGTTACAAAACTCATATCAGAGACGTTTAAAAACGTGATCATATTTTGAGTTAAGTTAATGTTACATATCCCTGGTTGTCCCAGTTTCCAGATTTATTTGCCAGATAACAGAATTGATAGGCAGAAACCCATTGAGGTCAGTTTATCAAGGTTATTGTGTGGATTTCTCCCACTGTGACCTTGGCTCAGGTAGTCTAACGGAGAGGAAACAAGCTCCCCCGGAGAACATTTTAATAGGAGTCGAGTGTCGTCCATGTGACGACAGGATCTGTTGCCAGGTAAGTATTAAGCACCAGTCATACAGACTTTTGCAGCAGGATGCCTTCCATATCATTTGAGATTTTGTCTGTTGTACAGAAAGGGCATTGCTCTTGAAAGTCACCATTTCTATCACAGCTAAATGACAGACAAAAGGGAAAAGCTACAAATGGTCTAGTCAGGGATTAAAAGCTGAATTCTCATTCAATGATTTATAAGCCCACTTGAAAGGTTAAAAGTGTAACATGTCTTTTAGTTAAGAAGAAATGTTCCAATCTTGGATATATATCAAAGATTGGATATATATCCAATCTTGGACATATATCCAAGATTGGATATATATCCAATCTTGTAGATTGGATATATATATCCAATCTACAAGAATATTGAGTCAAGGTTTAAAAACATAATTATTTGTTAGGTCTGTTGTAATAGTGAGCACAAAACATATGTTTTTAACTGTGCAGTTTGTTTTCATATTTTATCCAGTATTTGGTTTTGAGTTTAATACATCCAGGAGAGAAATGCAGATATCCGTTTTTCTTGTCACAGCTTATTCTGGAGGGATCCAAACACCTTCCTAAGCCAAAAACGAGAGACAGATGAAGATTTTTTTTTTTTTCTGTCCCAGGTCTTTTCTCAGTGGGACAAGCTTGGAAAACATCCAAATGGAAATATCCTGAGTCAATGCCCAAAACACCTCAACTGACTCCTTTTGATGAGAACGAGCTCATGCTCTATGCCAAACCCCCTGCATGACAAAGCAGAGGCCCCTTTCAGAATTACCATCCTCAAAAAGACACATAGCCACAAATCCCCTTTTGCAGATCTTTTTTTGTTCATATTATACAAGATGATCTGGTGAGTTCACTGGACCTGTGTGTTTGCAGACCATTCCCATGGGATGGATGAACCAAAGGGGCATAATCTGCAGCTGAGCAACATTCACTTGAGTAATATATATATCCAATAAATGTTGGGCATTTCATTGTTTTATGGTCCCATTTTTATCCACATCAAGATCTATTGATCAATGTATTAATGAGATCAGATGAGCACTGGATGAACATCTGACATTTCTGTTGTTTGCACCCTTGGGCTGTGCTGCTACTGCAGACTTTGCTTTGTCACTACACCACTCTTTTTCCTCTTCTCCCTGTCTTAGCCTTACAGCTGACAGTTGTTATGGGTGTGGAACAACTTCCTTCCACAAGTGGTGAAGCAAAAAATATGTTATTGAGGATTCACTTTGATCCCCTTATTCTGTATCTGATCCTTTCAGCTGATTGTGAGACACAAAGAACACAGATAGACAGTGAATCAAGACTATATGAAAGGTTTTTACACCAGCCAGACTCTGCATTTTGTGTCATGAATAGATACTCTTAAAGCACCATAGAGTCAGACATTTGTGGGACCTTGCCAGTGAGCACCTGGTGGTTGGGCTGTGGTTCTTGGGGGAAGGCCAGGCTCTGCCTAGAAAGACAACAGGAGGCTTCTAATTGGTCCTGTCCTTCACCGAGAGGGGAATTAAATTTGGGAATCATTGGAGCCTGGTGGCAGGTCAGGCCTTGACCAGGGCCAGTTGTATCATTATACTAACATTTTCTATTCTTTTTATTTATTTCCTCTGTGATAGATTATAACATTCTTAAGAGTGTTTTTTTTTTTTTTTTTTGTATTTAAGGTTTCTTAAGCTTTATTTTGTTTACACTCTCGGTTGTGTGAGTTTGCACTACGCCTTTGCAGTATAGATGGGCAAACATAGATGCTTCCCACCTTCCTAAAGGACACGAGGAGTTGGAAATGTGATATTAACTGGTATTTACACTGTGTGGTTCAGGTGAGATTATGGGATTCCATATGCCAGCTGAGACTGCAGCTCCTAACTAAGTTTAGGAAATACAATAAAAAAAGAAGAAAACAACCACAGAAACAACAGGAGCAGTGTCATTTTAAACAACAAAAACAGTACAAACAAGAAAGCACAATTTCTATTTATGTTATCTAATTTGAATTATTTCTTTTTAAAAAGTATTTTCACTTACTAACAGTTGCACCATGTAGAAATGCTTTATTGCATTCTGAGTTAGGAGTCTTTCTAAACAGTCTCTATCCAAATGTTTTGTACAGCCAATACAAGTTATGGGATCTCAAATTTTATTGTGCCTGTATTTATGAGTAATGAAAACACATTAAGGAAATGGGATCTGTCTTTCTATGGCCGTATAAACAAAGTACCAGTGACTAAGTCTATTCATGTAAAGCTATAATTAATAAAGCCGAGGCATAAAATGTGTAAAGATTGGTTTTTACAGTAGATTATTTATTTTGTCATATAACCCAGTTAATAATGATAGTGTCTCAAGCATGTGCATCACAAAATTCACTCTGTTGTGTAGAGTGGCCTTGTTCAGTAGCTGTTTTCTTTGAAGTCTCCTTTTCTACACCAGAAATGACAAGACTATTCGTTTCCAAAGACTTTTCTGAATGCAGCTTGAAACTGTTCTTGCTTTTGCTTGAATCTAAAGGGCAGAGCTGTTGTATCCTTTGCAACTCTCATTCAGTGTGCAGAATCCCCAGGCTAAAAACACATTAGAAACCAAAAAAACAAAGAGTCAACCTTCATTGATTTCCATTTGAGCCTGATGAAACAATATTGCAGTACAACTTTATCCTGCTTTGACCTGCATTAGATTGAAAATTAAGAAATGATTTTTTTTCCCGCTGTTAGTCTGTGTTGCATCCATGTGACCAGCCTGTCACCAGTCCTGAAAGAACACAACTGTTCTGAATATTCTACTGTTTCAATCCAGTTTGATTGTTTATCAAATAATATATTTCATATATTTGAAATTTATTCAATCTTCGTTTTCTGAGAAATGTGGAAAACATCCTCTAACACTGCAACTATGTATTTAAAGTGTGAACTCCTTCTAAACTTGGATTTTTCCAAATAAGTTTGAGATAAAACTTGGCTTAGGTTAAAAAGTATCTACATTTTGTTATAAATAACACCCGACATGAGAAACACTCTTTTCAAGGCTGTATAACACATTATTGTAATTTATAGGCTTGCTTTTCACCAACTAGACATGAAGTGCCAGTGGCAACAAAAATCCCTCCTTTTATCTCTCTTTGTCAGGGTAAAAAATGGGAAGAAAAAGGCTCAACACAAGGCAAATGCAGCATTAGACTTGTAACTATAAAAGACAATGTACAGTCTTGAGGGCACACATTTTAGTACATAAAATAAAATATATCCAATCATTCAATGATTAAAAGTAAAAGTTAGTAAAAGCTTACAAAATAAAAAATTATCAGTGCCGTAATTCTATAATTACTCCATTATTATTAATTTAGCTTCACTAGCAAAAATACTTATTGTTCAGGCAATCTTAAAGTCATAAGTATTTATCTACTTGCTTATCAATACTACTAACCTAAATCTACCTCTGATAATAAACTGTTCCACCATGACAATCACAAATACTCTTTTCCTTCAGAGTTTCTATTCTTTTTTCAGAATTATTCATAGATGTTTTTTGGCTTTTGTGACATAAATTACATAAGGTTGAATGTAACTCTGATTTTAAAACCAGAGCTCTATTGCAAACAATTAAGAATAATTTTTGCCTGAAATAATTAAATTTAGGGTGTTTTCAAACTTCTTTGATTAATCATGTCTTTCTTCATTTATTCAACAAATTAAAATTCTTTTAGATGTAGAAAGAAGAAAGAAATTTACCATTCCAAACTTGGCACCATGTTGATGTTGCGGGAAAGGAATTTGCTCAATTACTTTTGTGTTTGCTTAGTTTGTTTCACTTAAATGTTTTAGCCAATCAAGAAATGTAATCAGGACAAAATGGTGAGTAAATAGTAAGATAAGTCATTTTTTAAATTGTGATTTTTTTTTTTATTAGGGGAAAACATTTTTAAACTGCTATCCATAGCAGTTTAAAAATGTAGCCGCTAGTTGGCAACAAAATTTTAAATCAGACATTTGCATTTGCAAATCAGACATTTACTCATAATGAGCCTTTTAGATTGAGGATTTACAAACCACTCTTTTTGGCAGGAATGTTTTATTTAAACACACAAAATAAATTGGGAATTTGTTCTTTTTTTGTCTGATCTTATGGAACTTCAGCTTTTTATGACACGTTGCAGCATATTATCACTGCCATGCTGCATAGTCCAAGTACTCTTTCACCACTCCATATCATGAAGACTGTTTTACTTTTGCAAATGTGAAACAGGTCTATGTGTTATTTTTGATA